CCTCATTTGCCTCTACTGCTTTTTTATGACACGGTACTGAAAAGAGATATTCCGATGGGGACGTCTTCCATACTTACTATGCTAGTCGCCAAGTCGAAATAAGCATTTGTAATGAGACACGATAGGTTGGAGAGAAAGTCCTGCGACACTTTGATTACCATGTTCTAAAAAAAGATTGGAGAACACTCTGAAGTGTTCACCCCTGATTAATGGAGAGTGTTCTCTGAGATTTTGACGGATATATTATGACCTTGTACAAGATTTCAAAGCCTAAAAGTTTCCCAACGGTCAAGTTCCCGACCTATCTCATATTATGAGTTCCTGTAGGGGCACTCCGGCGTACTTAAGGGAGCTAATACCTGTGCTGTATGCAGGAAGGATGTCTGTATGCAGGAAGGATGTCGCTTGCCATTTAGAGTGTCCCGTTTGTATCAGCGCTTGCAAACTGGAATTATTTAACTCGAAGGTAGGCAACGTATAGGTCGGCCACCAGCACAGAATGACGGCCGTTTACTCAACGTTCTTGAGGCGCGACCCAAAGTAACCACCAGTAAACCTCTCTAGGCTGCACTCAAGTGACAAGTGCCATGCTTCTCCGCAATCTCGGTTGTAGGGAAATTTTTTGTGAAGGATGCCTCATGAGTTGGACCAGTCTGACAAAGCGCACCGAACGGTTGCGACTGAGTTCTCTTTTCCTTGTACATACTGGAAGAACTTTTTGTGAGATTATGTGGTTGGTAGCGAGTGTTGGAGTCCTTGCGTAAACTGCACACATCCCTCACAGGATCTCTTAAGGAGAAAAGTAGATTGCTCAGCCAAAAGCAGGTGTACACGGAATAAAGAACTCATTGTGCTATTGGCGGGGCTCCAAACCGATGGCGCTGGCTACTGGCATAGCAATGAGGCTGCATTCATACTTTGCGGCAGCGTACGCTAGCGTTTTCAGCTCGGCAGCGGCAAGGAAAGGATAGATATCGATCTAGCGTATGACAGCAGCACCAGCGTGCGCTAGCATATTCTAGCGTTACGCTAAAGTATTCTAGCATTAAGCGTAGCGAGGGCAAGGAAGGTATAGGTATCGATCTAGCGTTTCTAGCGTTTCACTAGCGTTTGCAGCGGCGGGAGTAGAGACTATGACTATGGGGGAATAGGAGGGTAGTTCGATTAGGCGTGCTGTGAAATTGCGGCGTGTGTAGCCGCACCGCAGTACTAATACCGTACACTAAATTGGTTAAATTGCATAATGCAATGGTTGAATTGCATAACGCATAAATGCAAAGCATGAACCGATCATTACCATCATGATTACGATAAGCGTGGGACCATCTAGGATCTTTCATAAGAATGAGCATGTATTTGTCAGCCGTATATTCGACCAGAAACCGTTCATACGAATTACTAAAAGTTCCCAAAAAATAGAACAATCTCCAACAGATCAGCCCTAAAAAGGAGATGGTACCTGCAAAAGCCAGCGTTTTCATAGTTCAATTCAATTCCGGTGCGACAATGTAAAAAAACATTCCGTTCCAACAGCTAACCACATAATTATGCAGTTTAACCAATTTAATGTACGGTATTAATACTGCGGTGCGCCACACACGCCGCAGTTTCACAGCACGCCTAATCAGACTGCTTTCTACTCTCCTACTCTCTAAGGGGCACTACTCCCCGCCGCTGGCAAACGCTAGTGAAACGCTAGAACTGCTAGATCAATACTTATACTTCCCTTGCCTTCGCTACGCTAGCGTAGCGCTAGAATACGCTCATACGCTAGCGCACGCTGGTGACGCTGGCATACGCTAGATCGATATCTATCCTTTCCTTGCCACTGCCGCTGCCGAACGCTGGAAACGCTAGCGTACGCTGCCGCAAAGTATGAACGCAGCCTGAACGCAGTCTGAGGGAGAGGGGAGGATAGTGATTGTACTCTGCGCTGCACTATATTCGCACAGGACGTGCGCCAGAAGAGTGTGGATGCAGAGCGGCGAGAGCCGATTGGCTCCAGTAGGAGTGGAGATTTACAAGAGGACATCTCCCTTCAAAGGAAAATATAGCATACAGCCCCAGATTTCTAGCCAAATGTGAGATTCGACCTAACTTTGAGAAACTGAGGCAGCAGTCAGTGAAATGCTGGTCACATGTGGTTTAGGAGCACATGTGACCAGCAGGCTATCGATTACTTTTCTCCGGATGGGATTTGCTCTGAGATATCAGGAAAACTGGATCAGTAATAGAATGAATGCGTCAGAAATGGCAAGTGTAGGCTTTGTACACGGGGAAATGCACGGGTGCCCCACTTTTCAAAGGCAGGTCAGAATACCGAATATGGTTAGTAACTTGAGTCTAGGCGTAGTTCGATCTGCTAATCACCAACGTGGCGCTCGCCTAGCGCGAAAGCGCCTGTACTGTGCACTAGAGGAACCGGTGCACTCAAATCTTCTTTCCAGTCACAACGCACCCAAGCGCAGTAATAACCGTATGCGAACCCTTTTTTGGGTATGTTCAGGAGAGCATTTATGTAGTAGTAACGCTGCAACCACTTTTTGCCGTGCTCCTGCGAGAATCAAAAATATTAGGCCTAGCAGGGTCCCGATCCCATAACCTGTTACTTGGCATGTGCGGAGAAAAAAGGTCCATAACTCGGTTCAGGGAATAGTTTAAGAATTCCTCGCCTATGCTGTGTCTCATTACGAACGGCCACATTGACCTGGCGACCTTCCCTTGTAAACCCAGCGGTGGCACGTTTTCTACCAAAAGTTGCGAGCTGAACAGTGGCACTGTTGGCAGAAAGAAAATGCGGTCGCTATTTGGCCGCACTCCATCCCGCTGACAGGCCCCACCGCATCCACTTTTGTACTCTACATGTGGTATGAAGCTCTACCGGCACCTCTGTCGTGATTTTTGCCACACATCCAGTCCGCGCGGGTATGGGTTAAAAGATCCACTTTGCGACGAAGCGATATTTAAAAGAGGTCACCATCATCTTTGCGATTCGATTGTTTGTCGTGGAAGTACTAAATATGTTTACTTGACAAATTAGCTTGCACTAGGTAGTTGCAGCGCGTTGCTAAAAGCGTGAGGCGTACCCAGTCCAATCCAAGGCAGCGTTCAGACTTCGCAACAGCAGCGCTTTGGCCGCGTGTTCGAGCGATCGATCGGTTCTACGTGCGATTGCGTCGTTCGTGAACGCGCATGACTGCGTAGCGCGACTGATTATTTCGCGCTCCAGTGCTGCAATCAATTAGACTGATGCTAATTTGCAGCCATCTTCGCTAACTTCTTACTTCTTTCTACTCCTGAATTCTGGCTCCCTTTTAGTCTTTTTTCATCTTCCTGTCAGTACTTTTCTCAATCCGTTTCTAATGTTTTATTGGTTGTTATACTTTATTTGTAATCTTACACATTCAAATTTCCCAGATGTATGGCCGTGTACAGTGCCTCTTTCTCTATTTCTGTATGAGTTTTTCAGGCTCACTGTAGGAGCAGGAAGCTAAAAAGAGGAGAGAGAAGGAAAGAGTCAGTGTTTACGGCTGTGTAGCATCCGTCCAGTCGATTTTAGCCTTGGAGCACGATATAATCAGTCGCGCTATGCAGTGGTACACTTGTGCGAGCGAATCGCACGCAGGCGCGATCGATCGCTCAAACGCGCGCCGAATTACTGTCGTCGCAAGGTCTGAACGCTGCCCACGTACTCTGTATGATCGATAAGGCATGCAGGGGCTGGAAAAGGTGGCGGAGTTATAGGGATCTCGTATGGAGCCCCAAGTCGTTTCTTACACGATTTGACTTCTTGAGTTCTCATGCTGAACATCTACAGAAATATAATAGGATCTGGCACTGTTTACTCGTTACTGCCCCAATCTTTTGAAATCAAGCCAGTTTTTCACCGACTTTCTTGTACGACGGTAGATTTGGCTGAAAATTCGCTTCCAGAGGTAGTTCAAACACAAACATCACTTCTGGTTGCCCCGAATCTGCCCAGTGCCTGTGGAGTTAGGGTTGGAGGAAAGTTGGTGCAAGTGACAACGCAGCCTGTCACGCTTGTCCCCACTCTTCTCCCGAAATAGCGATCCCTTCC